CTCTTCCCAATGCTGCCCTTGTAGGTGGGGATGCACTCTACTGGCAATGCTAGGTGGGTCTTGCAACACAGAGCAGTTTGATAAAATACCTTTGGAAGAGAACAGCCAAAATGAAGCTCCTGTACTTAAATCAGCTTTATTTTTCCTGTTCTGAGCAAACCATCTGCTTTCTCTAATTAATCAGTAATACATGTGCATTTTTAAATTTCCTTTATCTCTGCCAGCCAAACCACTATTTTATATCCCAAAGGTTATGAAATAATATCTATGACCTTCCCTAGATATTTTTACAACCTAAAGAGATGCACTGGGAAGGCAGAATTGTTAGAAAATGGAGAGCAACTCCTTCTTTCTTCCTTGAATAATAGATAAGCAAATAAAAACAAGGTCAAATTGAAGGCTAGTTAGTACTTTATTTAGCATTATTATATAATTCATATGGCATTCTCTCTTGCAAAGCCAAGAGAGTGCCTTGAGAAATAGTCTGGAAAACAGTGACTGGTCAGTTATTAGCATCTGTCTCTGTAAGAAACTGTCCTTCTTTGTAATATCAGAGTCTCCACAAGAGTTTTCATGAAAAGTTTCCAACTTCTAAGATCTTAATTTTTAATTTTTTTATTTTTTTTTAAACTCAGTCTTGCTATTTTCATAAGAGGAAGATATATAAATCAAGCAGTTTGCCCCTAACTCCCTATTGCCACTCTGGGAAGACAATGCTTACTAAAAAAGGAGAGTGTTGCTCTGTAGGAACTGTGTTGTGCATTTCAGGCTCTACCTGATAACTGTCTCCTTTAACAGAACTGGGCGCCCAGTAAGGTGCATGCTAGATCGAGATGAGGACATGCTGATAAGTGGTGGGAGACATCCTTTCCTGGGAAGGTACAAGGTATGCATACATACAAAATGAATGCGTGTTCTCTCAATGTTACCACCTGCAACATCAGAGAGTAGTAAGATGCTATGAAAAAATGGCTGCTCTGGTTGTTTTACTGCTGATCTCCCCTGCTGCAGATGGGTCAGGTCAGCTGGGTTATAGCGTTTTTCCCCGTTACAATCCTGCAGAAGTTCTTTTGGCTCAGGTGGTTCCCCTCTTGTCACTTCAGCATAAATACTTCCTCCTTCCTTGCAACCAAGACTTTGCCCTGTTGACAATCATTGCTCTTAGTGCTCCCTCATTTGTTTGCAGTATTGTGCTACTGTGTTTTGTGAACTTCCTTTCATCTTCAGTCCCCATCCAACTGCTTTTGCTTTTCAAAGCAGAAACCTGTTAAGGAAGGCGTGTCTGTGGCAAGTGGCCAGCACTTATTTTACAGTTTTCTAGAGCAAGATTAAGATGCATACATGGATCTTTTACTGGGAAGTTTCCTCAGTTGCTGCCTGTGCTTGTCCTATGCTGCAGCAGAGGACAGTCAACCTTTTCCCTGCATGAGGTCCATACGGTTTTTGGAGGGAAGCATGAAAAAGAACATTTGGTAGAAAACGGATTACTGAGGAGGCTCTCTTGACAGGTTGGTTTCATGAAGAATGGGAAAGTCAAGAGTCTGGAGGTGTCATACTACAGCAATGGGGGCAACTCTGTAGACCTCTCTTACGGTGTAAGTAAAATTTTTTTGATGGCTAACTAGGTAGAAGACTTTTCCCTGTGCAACCTTTTGCTCTGACTTCAGAGATTTGTTGTCTACAGCATTGCTTGCGTATCCTGCTCTCTGGCATGACTGAAAACAGACCTTGCTAGGTTTTTTGAGCCAATTGACCTGCCTTGGCATGTGCCACATGATTCTTATTGATGCTGTAATAACTTGGATTAGGCAAAAGGGCCAAGAAAATTTGTTTTGCATTACAAAGGGCTGCGATGGGAAATTTCTTGTGCAATGCAAGATGACTGATAGTTCCCCAGCTTTGGGGAAAGCTAGTTCCTTGGATTAAGAAACATCCAAGTCAATAGGCTGATCAGGGCAGAGTGCCTAAATCAACTAAATCAACTTGTTAAGGACTGGCTAAAGCTAACACTGGGTTCACAAGCACTAAGAACAAGAATGGGCCTGAGTTCTGAGTTTGTCTCCAAGAATATTTATGCTGATGAGTAAAAAACCTCTCCTTTTCTGTCATGTGTGCGACCAACCCAATAGTCTCATGTCACTCATGTTTATTCTAGCTCCCTTTCTCTACTCCACTGAGTCTTTGATAATTTTCTGCAAAAATTAAATCCATTTCAGTGGGAGAGAACTGCCAGAGCTCTCTAACAAAGCCACATTTGATGCTAGTGATGTGGTTGGTTCTGTGCAAAGCAGAATGGCAGGCAAGTGTCTCTGTATAAAATAAGAGCTTGGTCGAGCGTACATCTATGTGAATGGTCTTTTTGTCTGTGTCTGAATCAGGGCACTAGCAAGAACTCCATGTTGAAATAAGGTTGGGGTGTGCATTATCTTCTCTCTGTGCTGCTGCTGGAAAGGAAATATGGGAACACAAACCAGAAAGAAGCTCTGGCCCTTTCCCAGTTTGAACAAATAGTGGTCCAAGATCTCAAATCTTGCCATTTAGATGTAGCTATTGAAAATCCTTATTTCATATAGTTGCCCTTACTGCCATAGCCCAGCTACTGAGTCACTTGATATCAGCAAGATTTCTTTTCCACTAACAGGTTACTCAATATAATTAAAAGAAGATTCTAGTTCTTCCAGGTGGGTAATGGCATTTATAGTAGCTGTTTGGCTCAGCATCAGCCCAGGGCCAACAAAGGACTTTGAAGCTCAATCTGTGCCAGGGTCCTAAGCGTCAACAGAGAAGTGTGCTTATTGTTCTGTTGTTCAGGAGGACACTGCTTGAACACTCCATTGCAAATGGGAGGGATCACTGACTGTACCTTAGTGCTCATCCAACTGTGTTGACTGCAGATCTGCAAGAGAAAGTGGTGGTTGTTTTAAATTAGCTTCAGAGCTTTCCAGCCTGGCTTTGCCAACTAGTGAGAAGTCTGTCATGTGATTCATGTGAAAAGTATCCACTCCCGTTCTTTGTCTTCACCAGGTTATGGACAGAGCCCTGTTACACCTGGATAACTCCTACAACATCCCCAATGTCAGCAGCGTGGGCATTGTTTGCAAGACCAACTTGTCTTCCAACACAGCCTTCCGTGGCTTTGGAGGGCCCCAAGGAATGATGATCGCTGAGTGCTGGATGAGTGACCTTGCTAGGAAGTGTGGCCTGCCACCTGAGGAGGTACAGATCCACTGACACACTTCATTGTGGTGGTGCCTTTGCATAAGCTTTGAGAACTGGACAAAACCATGGAAAATTATTAAGCAGAAGAACTTTTGCTTCATTTTTGCTAAGGCCTTAGCAGGATTTTAGACTTTCTGTGTGAAAGCTACATTATAGCATGGATTATCTTATGTTTCATTAAATTCCCTCAGTAGCCTCAGTTATGTAACACCTGCTTTAAGGGTAGATATTAAAAAAAAAATTCCAAAAGCACTAGGTTACTAACAATTTGCTAGCAAAATTTGCAAGTCCCAATCTGTCCTGAAAAGCCTTTATGTCTTAGCCCCATTTCCCCATAAACAGATATTTGTCTGTCTGTTCTATTGTTCTGTAGAGTGTGCAGAGGAATAAAACTAGGAACCAACATGCTTTTTATGTCATCCATTAAAAAGACCTAGTCTGAGGAATTAAACTTGGCATGTCCTTTATATATCTCTTTGGGAAGGTGCGGAAGCTCAATCTTTATAATGAAGGAGACCTGACTCATTTTAACCAAAAGCTGGAGGGATTTACTCTAAGAAGGTGCTGGGATGAATGTTTGTCAAGCTCCAGCTATCATGCCAGGAAGAAACTAATTGAAGAATTCAACAAGTAGGTGTTCTGGAGCTATCTTGTTACTGGTTTCATCTTTTGCCTACTGACTTCTAAGTTCTCTTAGTAACTTGGGTGATATGAAGTCAGACCTTATATTTGCAGAGTAACTTCTGAAAATGTCTCTTTTTGAAATTTGTTCATGCTCACTGTGGGAAGAAACCTCTATCAGTTTGCTGGCAGCTTAAATAAAGCAAGAAACAGACCTACCATGACATGATTTTGTAAGGTAAATGTAGTAAAGGAGAGGGGTTTAAGTCCAGCTAGGCTTTTCAAATGGTGATCAAGGCAATTTGTTTAGGCTTTCCACTGTCTTTTTTTAGTTGGCTTGGATATACAACTGAATAGTTAATTGTCCAGACAATTTCTTCTGTAATGTCTAGGGGAGAAATCTTCATTTCAGATTTCTTCTTGTTGGGACCCATAAACAAAGCCAATCTTTCATAAAAATTACGGATTAACTCAATCTATATTGCATTTAGGCATTTAATTTCTGCTTTGATTCCCAAGCTGTCAGAGGGAAGCATAGTACTGAGTTGTGACAAAAGCCTCGTGAGTATATGAATAATGTTCTTTCCTTGTAGGCAGAATCGCTGGAAGAAGAGAGGAATGTGCATCATTCCCACCAAATTTGGCATCAGTTTCACTGTCCCATTTCTGAATCAGGTCTGTAAGTGTTATTTATCTTTTCAAGAGAGAAGCTAGATTTATGCTGCCTCCCCCAGGGCTTTGTACCAAACTGGAGCTTTTTGGAGAACTATTAAATTAGTTAGGAAAGAGCACACATTTTACAAATCAAAATGAGCAACACAAGAATTAACACTTTATACTGTCCAAAAGACACCACAATGCAGCTGTGTTTCCATGGTATTGCATTATGTCAATTTCCCTGCCTATTCTCGCTTCCCCAATAGTCAGAACACTGTTCTTGTCACTGACTTGACTTGTCAGACTGTCAGTGGTGTTACCAAGTTCAGGTGAAGGGTGTATCTCTGTTTCACAGGGACAGGTTTGGGTTACTTCACCTGCTTTCTGAGCTGAAAATACTGACTGAGGTTTGTTATGTCATTGGAACTCCTAGTGAGTTGGTGAGATTCAACCAAACTCACCTTGAGTGTAAACTAGTGGCTTTAATTACACCAAAGAACAACATAGATCTTGCTCCAAATTAATTCTCTCAGTAGTTTGTAACTGAAATCTGCGAAGTGCTTCACTAGTTCATTTATGCTGAATCTTGGATTAATGTTCCCTTTTGTAGGCTGGAGCTCTGGTCCATGTGTATACAGATGGCTCTGTGTTACTTACACATGGAGGGACTGAGATGGGTCAAGGACTTCACACCAAAATGATTCAGGTAATAATAAGTTTGGACTTAACCAAATGAGACATCTTCTCAAGAATATTACTCACTCTATAGTATTGCTTCAGACAGCTTGACACTGCCTCTCTGTGCATGTGTACGGTAACAAATCATGACTAATTCCTCTTAATTGTTTCAGCAGCAGTGTTAGATTTCCAGAGTATTATCACAATTGAGTATGAAAATCAGCTTCTTCTTTGTTTTAATGCTTATTATGTAGATAATGCAGGTTATGCTTACAATCTAGCTTCTGGCAATTTAATTTCATCCCATGAAACTACAGTTTACATATACTTTATACAAAAATTAGTTGTGTTGCAAACATATTTATCTGCATATGCTAATGCCTTTGTAGTTAAAAAGGCTTAAGGGAGCAACATTGCTTCAGCAGGGAAATGAAATGGAAATATAATAGGGCTCTTTATCCTCTGATTCTTGTAACTGTTGAGAGAAGAATTTAATCTCACAATAGTGAAGTGAATGTCTGTTATTGTGGCAAAAGTGTATGTGCTTCCACGCATTCTGTCTGTGAAGGGCAAACTGAAGAATGTTCTGGCTAGCCCTACCAAATCAACTGAGTCTTCAAGAAAAATGAAATTTAGGGTGGGAGAGGGTAGAGGCTGCAGTGTGGATCCTAGCAGTGTAATGAATGACAATTCTCGTGTGTAACCAATTGCTTACCTTTGCTCTGCAGGTTGCTAGCAGGTCACTTGGCATCCCCACCTCCAAAATTTACATCAGTGAGACCAGCACAAACACTGTCCCAAATACCTCCCCAACAGCCGCATCTGTCAGCGCAGACATCAATGGAATGGCTGTCCACGTACGGAAATTGAGTTATTTAAACTAGTGGGTTATGGGCTAGGATTCCAGAACATGAAAACTTGATGTGTATTTATCTATTGCTTAAGGAAAATGTAACTATCAAAAGGCAATTCCAGGCTAAGGATACTTCATAACTTCTTTACATGCTATAACTACCAGTGGTGCTAGATGGTGAATTACCTTTTATTTTTTTTTTCCCCCAAGTTATTCAAAACTCTCCTTCAGTCCTTTTGTAGTTCTGAAATGGAGTGTTTGTGATTACTCAAAATGAACAGAACAAAGTATCTATTTAAACAGGTAGCCAGTTAGTAATTAATGCGACCTTATCTATAACAAATATATTGTGCTGCAGATATTAATGGCAGATGATCTGTGGGATGTGTTCCACAAACAAAGACCTCTAAGTGTTGATGCAGAGCAAACATCCTTCTGTAGCAATGGTGTGGTCATGATTGTCTCTGACATGGTAGAGTTACCATTGCATATATATTTGAAGGGTATGTGAGTTTTTCATTGAAAAGAGGAATTTAGTACTGGTTGTTCTCAGGTTTAAAAAAGAGGAAGTGTAACTGTAAAGAAAAAACAGACTGTTTTTATTCTCTGCACATCTTGTCTTACTAGGTTGAATTTTGGCAAGAATATTTTTTTCAGTGTTCTGGGATCATCTCGCTAGATATGCTAAGGTGTCCTGCTATGACTTGGTACAGATAAAGTTACTGTATAAATGGGTGGACTTCTGATATTTTCTGTCACGGTCCAGAAAGTTCTGTGATGTATTTGGGTTTCCCTTCTGCTATCAGCACAGCCAATCTGCTTTAAAATCCTTTTCAGTCGACATTTCTTCCTATATAGAAAGACATCTGTTAGTGAACTTTGTTCCTTTTTATGATATGCCAAAGTCCTAAAGGCAATATTGATTTAAACCAAAGGTTCTTTGAAGCTCTTAATACTACAAGCTGACTTTTCAAATCTTAAAATATTGCTTCTCTCTGTTTCTAGAATGCATGTCAGACTATCTTAAAAAGACTTGAGCCAATCAAACAGTCTAATCCCAAAGGATCCTGGGAAGACTGGGTAAGCTGTTTGTAACTGTCGCGAGACAAGTGGGCATTGTCAGCGGTTGTTTTAATTGGCAAACCCTGTTTGCAGGTATTTCCTCCAGGCCTTCTGCATCTGGCTAGCAAAGATTTGAGCAAAGACAGTGACACAGAAACCTGGCAGGGGAAGTAACCAAAGCTTGCAAGAGGTCATCCCCAAAACATCAGTTATGACCTTAATAATGAGATTTTTCCAGATCCTGGGGCCTGCCTGCGACAAACTTGACCAAATAAAAGTCTTCAGTGGTTACATATATCTTTCTAGTGAGGCTACAGTCTTGGACAGGAAGAAACCTGGTTTGTAGTGAAGGGATTCTGTGACAAAGATGACTCTTTGTTGAGCTGACATTCACCTCCTGTAGTGCTACTTGGCTGCAGTATCTCCGTACCTTCAAGAAGAGATTGGTGTGCTGTAAGGCCATTTTCAGATCCAAGTTCTTCTCTTCCTGGGAGGAGTTTTGACTTTGTGATTTGGAAGTCAGGATAGGATTTCCCCTGGCCTCATTGAAGTAAAGATGACTGTCAATTTAACCTTTGTCTCTGAGGTTGAAAGTCTAACCTGTAGCTGAGAGTTGAACAAATGAGCAAGTCTTATCCCTCTGCCAATGGTCAAGTTCTGCCCCTGGTAGCTGCTGACAGGGCTATTTGGGGAAGCAGCTGCATCATGATGTTTCTCTTGGCACTGCTGATGCTGGGTAGCATGACAGCTATCTGTCACTGGACACCTTCTAATCATGTTCTCCTGGAAATGTGTTTGGGGTAGCTATTTTGCAGGGACTGGTTGGACAATTCCTGTTTTCAAACTCTTGTTCCCTTTGCCAGATTAAAGCCGCCTATGAGAACTGTGTTAGCCTGTCGGCCACGGGGTTTTATAGGTGAGTGAATATTCATGCTGTTCATTCGAGCTCTTACTCGATTGCATGGGTAGCATCCAGGGAAATTCTGGGAGGATTTACAGCCCATATTCCCCTGTCGCTGCTCTAATTTAGGACTGCATTCCCTTTCCTACTTAGAAATCTTAAGCTGAGGTTAAGACTCTCCTGGCTGGGAAGAATTGGTTCCTGATGGAGCACAGCTCTTGGGGACAAGTTCAGATCTCATGTAAATCTGAGGTAGATCTGACTTCACTCTACCTGACCTAGGTCTGAGGAGTTATAAATTAAATCAGAGCTTTGCCTGGGGCTCTGCTCTATGTCAGCCTTGTGACTTAGCGTTGCACTAGAACTGTCATGCAGGGAAAAAGGGGGCAGGGATTGTCCTTGAGGACAAAGCTACTTATGGCAATTGGCTGGAGCGTTGTACTGTCTGTTGTGGCATGAGCAGATACCAGTGCTTTCTATTTCGTTCTCCCACTTTAAACTCTTGCTGGTTCCTTTGCAGTTCTGAAATGAGGCACTTTTCTTAGTCAGCTTTACTGCTGAAGGAAGAGATCCATCATCTTTGAGGCAGAGGAGTTGACATAAAAAAAACCCCACAGTGTTGAGAAGAGCCTGTGTAGGACTAAAATATAGTATGAACTCATTTCTGTTGTATCTCTGAAATGTGTTTTTCTCTTAACCAAGTGACTGTCAGTATTTTAAAAAGCCAGTATTCAGATAAAGTACTCAGATACAAAGTTTGCCATGAACTGTGCTTAAAATCAGTTCTTAGCTTAATCCAGTTTCTGGTTCAACTTTATGCTCTGAAATTTAATGACCTCCAAGAAATGTTCAACTGCACTATAAAAGCAAAAGATTTGATACTAGATTGGTGGGAATGAGTTCACAATAGTCATCACAAGCCCTGAGATTCCTGGGAAAGTAAAGACGGCTAAAATAGTTCCATAGTTTCAGTCAGGTTTTGGAATACAAGAGCAGCTTCAGTAGATTTCTATTTATAGTTGTTTACACTTTTTATTTCTGCTTGGGCTTGATGGAAGGGATGAAACAAAAGTGAATAAGGATTTGATAAATTGCAATGTGTTTGTATTCATTTTGACTGTTCGTGGGATGAAATGTGGTTTTGTTTTTCTTTGTATCAAGAATTCCTGACCTTGGCTACGACTTTGAAAAGAATGAAGGGAAACCATTCTACTACTTCAGTTATGGTGTTGCTTGCTCTGAGGTTGAGATAGATTGCCTGACAGGTGACCACAAGGTGAGAAGTTCAACAGTGACACAGCCCTCTGTGTTTAGGTGAAGGAAACATTCACAGGGAGTTAGAACAAATACTGGGTGTCAGCCTGTTCCTAGCTCTGTCATTGGTCTGGTGTGACCTTCAGTAAATTTCTTAACTCCTCTGCTCCACAGTGCAACAATCCGTAAGTATAATAAAATGATAATTATCTACCCTGTGGGGATATTAGGAGGCTTAATGAATGATTGCAAAAGTTATTGGATTTGCTTAAGTAAGAGATAGCAGCACTGTGTTAGCACAAAAGAACAGAAACATACTGGAATTGAGTTAATAATTAAAAATAGCAGTGAAGACTTCTAGAAAGAAAGACAAAAAGAAAATAAAACCCCATGAGAATCTGACCTAGTTGGTTAGCAGCTGATGCTAGCAGCTTGGAACCAATATAAATTGGGTCCATTGGATCTCTGGGGAAAACTGCAGTGAGTTCCTTTGATTTACTTTAGGGATGAACTCAGATTAAAAGTGAGTATGAAGAGTTGAGCTGAGATAGATTGTTGAACCCTGGCCAAATGTGGGTACTCCTCCCCATACAAGACCATGGTGTGCCAGTTTCAGTGTTCTGTGATGATTTATTCTTTATTTCTGCCTTTTAGAACATTCGCACAGACATTGTTATGGATGTTGGTACTAGTCTGAACCCAGCCATAGATATAGGACAGGTAAGTGAAATAGTGTTGCTATTTCCACCAAGTTAAAGCAGTCACACTGCTCTCAGGCTTTTCTAGATGAGCTGTTATCCCTCTTCAGGTTGTGCCTTTGCAAACAGAACATTTTAAACTTGGGTATGTAGTAAGGCACTTTAGACTAGCTATGAAAACCAGTTTGATCTGCATTTAACTAGGCAATAGCCACAGAATTATATAGGGAAATATCTTCTTGGGTTTTTTTGCCCTGGTTATTAAGATACAGGATATTCTCCAGTTACCACCACACTGATGCTTTTTGGCATCTGCCTTGCCGAAGGAATGAATCCAGATAATACTAATACAATGGAATAACCTCATCCCAAGGTTATTTTATACAATGTGGCATGTGAGACTAAATCCCACACCTGATTTTTATACTCCTATCTGTCAATATCAAGTTCCATTTAATTCAGTGAAAATTTTTCTGTGAATAAAGAGTTAGTCGTATATTTTGACCTACTGCTGTGTAGGGATCTCAATAGGAAGTTGGACATCTCACTTAGCTTGCAAACCCCTTAGTCAGGGACAAGATTTTGTGCAGTAATAATCACAATGATAACTTTCAGCAAATAAAGATAATAAACACAGGGTTGTTTGGTATACAGAGGAGAATTGTTAGACATTTGCACATGCTTATCCAGCCATCTTAGCTCCCTTGCTAACTCTAGATGTTGACATAATGTAACTCCAGTGAAACTGCTGCAGGATTTGGGGTTTACAGGAGAGCACGAGTTGCAGAGCTCTTCTATAGGTAAAATGAAAAGCGACATTTTTTTAGAAAAGACACTTTTTTAAGTGGACAAAGGGAGAAGGAGCTTTTCTGTCTTTGTAACCTGTCAGTTTGGGTCTGGGAATAAAGAGATGGGCTATATGGAGCCTGTCAGAGAGATCTCAATTTCCTGTGTCCTTCCATGAATTGCTGCAGAGGATCTGGGGGCAGAGGAGGGAAAGGAGGTTGTATGACTGCAGGAACACAAGTACACAGAGCTGGGTTAGTGAATGTTTATGCCAAGTCCTTAGACTGGTCTGCCTCTCAGATCCCTCTGTGGGCGCAGAGAGCAGAGCTACTTTGCGTAGGGTTGTTCAAGCACATCCTCCTCTCATAGCTGCTCCCTTTTTTTTTCTTTTTCTTTTTTTTCTTTCTCCTGAAATTTACACTGGAAAAATTATGCAAAGAAGTCTTTAGTACTTGAATGGATATGGGAGTGTTTTTGCAGCTGTCTGTGCTGGTGACTTGAGAATATGCAGTACTTAGGAAAGCATTTATACTAAAATAGAAAGCATAAAAAATAGTTTGTCTTCAGATATGTAATCTTCAGTCCTTTTAATCATCTTATGCTTTGAATTATCAGCAAATACAACTATTCAGTGTTAATCTGCCTGTGAAGGAATCAATATTTTGGCATTGATTTTTTTTTTTCCCCTTGCTTAATCAGAAAATTCCTATCCTGCGTTTACAGCATATCTGTTTACGTGTGTTTGTAAATTGCTTCACCTGCCAGGGAAATGCAGACACATCTATATGGGAACACAGACATTGTGCAAAGGTGCCAAGCTGTACTCGGCAGAAAGGACAAGCGTTTAGAGAAATTAGGAGGGGAGGGGAGGGCTGAAAACTGGTGGAAATCATCACTGTTTTTTCTTGTGCAGGGAAGAACAGCAGCAACAAAAAATAATGTAACCTTGTTTGGATTGTGTTTGTAGATAGAAGGAGCATTTGTCCAAGGCCTTGGGCTCTTCACCATGGAGGAGCTGCGCTATTCTCCTGAAGGGAATTTGTACACTCGAGGGCCTGGGATGTACAAAATCCCAGCGTTTGGAGACATCCCAACAGAATTCTATGTGTCTCTTCTCCGTGACTGTCCAAACAGCAAGGCAGTTTATTCATCCAAGGTATACCTGTGAGATCTGCAGGCCTCCTACTGCTCTATAATTCTGTGAAGTTGAGTGTGATAAAGTAGTGATTTATATGTCTAAATATTTAATCTTGTTACATTGGCTTTTTTCTGGGGTCAGGATGTTTTCCCATTCCTTACTAGAAATATGTATGCTATCCTTTATAGTTAAAGAACTGAATTAACCTGCACATCGCTGCCCTGATTGTCCATTAGAGAGAACTGAAGTGGCTTTGCTGTGCCAGTTCTGCTGTAGCAGAGGCTGCCAGCCTCCCTCTGCAATATCAACTCCCTAGTTGCCCTTCCCTGGCACCAGAGCCACCACTGCAGATAATGTTTCCAGCAGTGTCACTTCCCCAGATCTGATATACCAAGATCTTATGTCTGAGTTTTCATGTTTTGCTTTCTTTACTGTTTCACAGTGCTCATGTCACCCTTAAAGGTCTGTTATTAATCCATGTGTCCTTCAGCTGTTTCCACTGCAGTCAGTGCTGTTCTCTGCAGTTTGTGAGGGCTGCACAGAGCAGGACTGGATATACAGCATCAATGAATTTGCTTTACTTAATGGTTCCACAGAGCAGTTGGAGAAGCCACCCAGAATCCTTATCTGTATATGCCTGGGTTGCCTCCTTACAGTTTCCCATTTCCCTTCCGTCTACAGGAACCTCTTCATCAATGAGGAGAACTTTTTGGGTGATTAGTGTTGATGACAGAATTAAGAAAAAAGGGGCTAGTAGGGACTTCAGTATTAGATAATATTTGTGTAATCCATGGGGGAGGCGTTCCTGCTGGTTTGCAAGGACCTTCAGTGATGGAGCATCATGCTCTCTGCCCAAACAACCTGCCACTGCCTTATCCAAATTCCCTTTGCAACTTTAGCACCATCCAAAAGGTTGTGGGGAATGAATTAGTCCTTTTTTCCTTCATAACAGCTTTGCTGTGTCAGAAAGCTTGTGTTTTCCTACTGTCTGTTCTTTAAATGGACTATGGACTGTTGTAGCTCAGTCTTTCCTCACTGATCACACCTGGTAGACTGAAGTTCACACATGGAAGGCAAGGGGGTGTTTTGACTTGGTCTTTCCTTCCTGATCACATTTGGGAGACTGAGAAGTTACAAAGAAGGAATGAGGAATGCAAACAATTCCCAATTGTCATCTAGGGCTTGCCTATATTTCTGTTAGCCTCATTAGTCTTGGACCAGGACTGTTTTGGGCTGCAGCCTCACTCTTGCTTGTGCTCTGTCTAGGCTGTGGGAGAGCCACCTCTGTTCCTGTCTGCCTCAGTGTTTTATGCCATTAAAGATGCCATCTACTCAGCAAGGAAGGAATCTGGCCTGACTGAACCATTCAGACTGGACAGTCCTGCCACCCCAGAGAGGATCCGCAATGCTTGCGTGGACGTCTTCACCAAAATGGTAACAGCTTCTGCTTTCATAGTCTGCTCCCTGGCCAGCCTACTGCACATGGAGCGTGTGTGCTGGTCACAGTGGCTGAGGTCTGGGATTTAGGGCAATGATGAGGGGAGGCTGTGGCCCTGCTTAAGCAGATGAGGTTTATTTCATGAATGTTACCCTTCATTTAACATGCCACCAGAGGCAAATCCACAGACCAGCATTGCTGGGGCTCCCATTGCAAGAAGGTCTGCCATACAGTATCAGTGAAGTTGCAGTTCATCCCTCCATCCTCCAAATGCTGTCTGTAGAACAAAGGCACTGACTTGTCCTGATGCTCCTGACTATCATCTCTTAGGGGATCACCACTACTAACATATCTTGCAGGTCTGCTCTGATTTAGTGGTGTCCTTCAAGGAGGGAGGGAGAGGAAAGTGTTACTTCAAGTGCTCGCTTCTCCTGAATGTTATGACCACAGGAGCCTCCTGAGAGGCTGTGGGCTGTCTCTTCATGGGCTCCTCCTGTGTTACAGCGTTGTGACAGGACTGTGTGGGATTGGTCCCTGCACGAGTCCTGCTAATTCCTAAATGACTCAGAAAAAACAGCTGTCTATCTGTGTGGACATTCTCCAGGCTTTCATCAGCTTGAACCCTGCTGTAGTTAACAGTTAAACCTGGATATTTTAGTCCTTCTCACCTAACACCTGCATCACTGTCTGGGGAGGAGGACTCAGAAATGGTTTTGAGAATTTGCACAAACAGTTGACCATCAGGCCTTCAGCTACAGCCAGGCACAACCTTGAACAGGGATGCCATCAGACAGACATCTCTGTGTTTTGAAAGACGGGGATATGGGCTCACGTCTTCAATGGTACAAAGTTGCCCACCTCAAAGGGATCATGGTGGGACGTGCCAAACCTGGGCCAGGACCCTCATTTGTTGCTAACTTTTTTTTTTCCTCTTTACAGTGCCCTTCTGCTGAGCCCGGGACCTTTAAGCCATGGTCTGTGCGTGTGTAAAAGGGAAGTTTGATGAGCAAACTCTCCTAAAGAAACTGAGCTTACACCAGAGGGACCACAAGGCTGAAGGCAGTAGGACTATAATGGAAAAAAAAAAAAAAATCTATGTTCATGTGGCTCATCCACTGATTCATGGAGCTTTCACATTTAATTGTCCAATCATTGTTTTCTCTAGGAGAGGGTATTGCTGCTAGATTATAGCTGTGATGTAAATTCAAATGAAGAGAAAGTGGAAGGTGATGTTATCTAGGTGTAATTGAAAAAAATCTTTCAGGTTTCATTTAAATTTGCTGCAAGGATGGGAGACATCCTTACTACCAGCCAATGTGAAATGGCAGAGTGGTTGTTTCTTTTTTTTCTGTTATGAGGAAGATGGATCACCTTGTGATGCTTTGCCAAAAAGGACTTCAATGCATTGAACCCAGACAAGCAGTTCTCTAGTGGAGATGGGGGAAGGCGTGAGAGGCACTGAGGGCTGGACCCTGTTGTGTCCCCTCTGCACACAAAGCCAGATATACATTAGAGGAAGATGAGGAGGAGTTCTGATGTTAGCTGAGGATGATGGTCTTACCTATGTAACAAAAGCGATTCAGAGAAAAACCCTAAAATGTGACCAATAGCTGATTTATGCCGAGTTAAATGAGATTTGCTTTGTCTGCACTGGGGCTTTAATGAATTTTTAGTTCACATGCTACTTTGTCTTCTCTGATTAAAGAAAAAAACGAGAGATAAGAAGAAGACTTCCAGCAAGATGCTGATTGATTTGACATGCTCAGCCTTTTTTCACCCCCATACCTCCACATCTTTCCTCCATCTTTTAAATAGGAGAGGACATCTGAGAAAGGACCTTGGAGTAACAGAGCAAGTTACTCACTGTTCCCACAGCAATTTATACCAGCCTAGGCAAGGGAGAGTAGAGGGACAGACACAGCTGGGGATGAGTTGGCTCTGGGTGCCCTCTAGGGTCAGTCCCTTGCTGTCAGGCTATGGCCTTGCCTTCTTTTCAAGACAACTCTTAGTTCTGCTGACCTGTAAGAGAACGGGTATGTTTTGCTACAGGGACTACTTGTCTGAAAAATGTACTGACTGTGTGATGACCTCATGCCTTCTGGGTTGAATGCATTTTTCATGTTGGATTTAATGCTGGGCATCCCTCTTCACAGGTTTTGTCACTGACAGATTTAACACTGTAGCATCGTGTTAGCTCTAGATTATGTCAGCCATGTACTGTACCTGCTCATCATATGCAAACTTTTATCTGTTTCTCTGGTCCATAGGTTTATGAAAATGTCCTTTTTCTATTTTTGCACTCCTAGGGCCATAAAAAATATGGTGCAATAGGATGTAACTCCATTGCCTTATGCAAAATTTTGCTCACATACATCCTGCTTAAAATTGGCCTCTGTCTTAGGACTTAATGTGGTAATAATTTGAAATGCTTTTTTGAAGCACTCCAGGGCATATAGTTTGGAAGTGTGTAGATTCATTTATCACACTTAATTTTACTTAAAGTATTATAGTTCTACCATCTGGAAAAAGGGCATTTGTATATGTGAGTTGCATAAAGTATTTTGTGCCTTCTGGGCTTGCTATGTAATTGTTTTATTAATTGAAATATGATATTGATGTTTCTTAAGGTCTGAGGTATTGGGCAAGAAAAGCATTTTTGTTTTCTCCTGAAAGTTGGCAATGTGTAAAAAAAAAAGTGATAATTTGTGTGCAAGAACAGCTATTGGAGCTTGAGTATTCCTATTCTTGCATGTCTGGGAAGGGATGCAAAATACAAAGTCTGGAAGGTAGGTCAGTATCAGGCACTGTTTCTGTGGCATTGTGCCTCGTGGGACTGCTGGACATGCTCACTCAGATCAGGCTGAGAAGTACCATGGCAACACAATATGTATTAACGCAGAACACCGGGAGCTACAGCAAGAGTGTGTTATTGAGGAACTTCCAGCATCATCTCAGGGGAAAGCCACCAGCGTTCAGGAGAGGCCTGTTCTTTGTGAGAGTCCTGGGATGGGACAGGATATCACTAGCAGGTTGAGAAATATCCCCCGTGGGTTTGGGAGCACCTTTTTCATCATTTCAGAGTGGGTTTGCAATGTCTTGCATAGCCACAGTGACTGCCTGGTCGAGTGAAATTTTTTAATTAGGTCTATCAAGTCTCTCTTGTTATTTGCCAGGTTAGGTGTACATGCAGTGGTTAGACTGGCCAATGTAGATCTTAGCCTGTGGAGCTGTTCTTGCTGCAGCATCAGTGACCCACTGCTTCCCAGGCACCAGTCCTTGCCCTCAAGCCCACCCCAGCTCAGGGTCCTCTTACTGCCCTTCCACAGCCACTGGCCGATGGAAAGAGGAAACATGTTCCTTTTGGGATGCGCTGAAATTGAATGTAATTATATCAAACACCTTGGGGGGGGTGGGGAACAATCAGATAAAATCGGGGTTGCAAAGCAATTACAGAAAGTGTTTTTGAGGGTGCAGGAAAGACAGACGCTTGGAGACTTAACAGGAATTTACAGAGAGATCAATGTAATACCTGGCTGGGCTGTGGGTGGGACAGGGACCCCAAGGAACACAAAGCTGAGATAGCGTCTTACCATTTCATACATTGCTTTCCCATGGAACTAAGTGTCAGATAGCCTAGGGATGGACTTGGGACCTGCTGTGGAGGGCTAGGATGATACTGCTATGGGATAGCCTGACTTAAACTGTGGTCTGCACTACAAAGCTGTCTGAGAACAGCTCTCCTGTTGTGAGTGCACAGCACTGTCCTCTGTGACATGCTGCATCCGATCTCTTCATGCACATCTTGCTGCATGGGATATCAGCTTGCAATCGCTGAAGGGAAAGCTACTTATGAAGAGAAAAATGTTCCTTTCCTGGTACTTTTCAATGAAATCCAGCGTGGATGCATGGCTCTAATCCTGTTGTGAGTGCACAGCACTGTCCTCTGCGACATGCTGCGTCAGATCTCTTCATGCACATCTTGCTGCACGGGATTTCAGCTTGCAATCGCTGAAGGGAAAGTCTACTTATGAAGAAAAAAATGTTCCTTTCCTAGTACTTTTCAATGAAATCCAGCGTGGATGCACGGCTCTAATGTTATGTATAACTGGAAATTCGCCGCTTCTCTCTTTCCAGAGCTGTATCATCAGAAGAGGAACTGCGCCATCTTGCTAGACTGTCAAGTATTACGCACAATAATGACACAAGTAATAATTGCTGTAGCTGGATAGTTTGTGGGATGGTGGAAGAAGGCCATCTGGTCTGGTATCTTAACACTATTAATCGCATGCCCCTCGATGAGAGGGGGGAGGCCAAGTTTTCGGTAATTGTTTTAGGTCAGTTCTAATCAACAGCTTTCACCATTGTTCTTTAATGAGCATTGTCAAATCAGTGTCTTTGTCACACGAATGTACGCGGAATTCTCTGTGAATGTCACAACATTGCAAAATAAAGTCAAAAAATATTCTGGGAAATAGTATGCTGTGGTAAAAGTCTGTCACGATTTGAAAGCTGGACAACTTTAGTTCATCCATAATGTCTGGAAGGATGGACACTTCTCAGAGGCTGCTGTCCATGTGGTGGTGTGGTGTGTGGCTGGTACCTGGTCCAGACCTCCATATCCTTGTCTTATTGCTAGTACAGGTGGCAGCTAGGCTTGGCCCATTTAAGTCAGCCAGGTAAAGGGGAACTGCACTCAAAAATTAGTGTTGGAGCAAGCATCATGCTGTGTCCTGGGAGCTCTCTTGAGCCTAAACACTCAGGAGATATGGGGTCAGAAAATAGGAAACAGTTCACACAGAACAGGTATGACCAAAAGATGGGTTGGGCTTGGCCTTCCTCAGTCATGAAGGCTTGAAAGCCTCACCAGTGGCTCCTCAGGAGGGTCTGCCACCTTGTGTCATATATGTTGTGCAGAGTAGACGGACATCAGGTGATGCACTCCTTCGAGAGCACTTCTTATATCTGTGTGGGGAGATTTGTCACAGAGAAGCCATTGACAAACCTCTTGGCCCAAAAGGCAGCCCAGAATTTGAATGGCAGTGCAGGCAGAGCATGCAAGGATGATGCTGCAGCTTGCTGTGGGTCCAACCCAACTTACTCCAAAACACTAGGTTTGCTGAGAGCAGATTACCCTGTTGCAGTTCTGTTCATGCAGGTTTCCAAGCCCTGATGCCACATGTTTCCCTAGTGCCTGCTCTTGCTGTATTTAAACACAGTTCAGCCACGGGGGAGCCCCGATAGCCTCTCCCTGGCAGTGGTCTGTCTCAGCTCTGATGTGCCTTCTTGAGCAGTGACATGGACAAGTATGCTGTGTGCAGCTGTGGAGCAAGGGTCTGTCCATGAACCAACTGGTATCTTGAAGCATTCGCATTTGGTTTAATGCTCTCTGAAACAGTCCCTCCTGGGGGGGGCATTTCTACCAGCTCTCTGGGGTGGTGACAAGGTCTGACAGGAAACTGCTAGAAAATGGGAAAGCAGAAAGGTCCCAGCGGTAGAAATGAGACAGTTGCTTCTTCTGGTGTAAGGACAGCTCACTGAACATCTGCTCTGATAACCAGCTGTAGGTCCACTGCACTTGGGCATCAGTGAACTCAGGGAGGAGGCTGTCTGGAAGCAGCCCAGCCCGCTGCAGCAGATGACCCAGCTCCTGCCTGAGGAAGCCAAACATCACCACATAGTCATACTGGACGAGACAGGGCCGGCACAGGCTGACAAGTGGTTTCCAAGTCACGCTGGCATTGTGCTGTCCGCTGTCTAAAACATCCTGAACAAAGCTGCTGAAGGATGAGCTGCTGCCCATGCCTTGCATGAACGTGGAGATCAGCCTCTGGAAAGGGTCCCTGACAAACAGCACTTTGGTGTAGGACCCTAACATGGCCTCTATCACTGTCAGGTTGAACTTGCTCAGCTGTGTCTCCAGGGCGTGCTGCCGAGGGTAGGGAAGCAGCACCGGGAGTGTGATGTTTTCTTTCTCCTGTAACTTCTCCAAAAGCTGCTGCCATTCATCCATCCCTGTTGATGGCACTTGGCAGTAGAGGAGGTCCAGCTTGGTGCTTACTCTCAAATTTGAGAGCAGGTGGGCTCTCTCCTCCTGGCTCCTTGGAAGCATGGTGACTTTGCTTTGTTGGCTGCAGAAAGCTCTCAGTCTCTTCTTCCTGAGCTGCTGAACATGAAGGAAGGTGTCCAGTGTCAAAGTGAAGCTCTCTTCCACCTTGGGGGCCAGGCCACCTGGGAAACATTGTTTGAAGATGGGGGTGAGGAAAGTCCATAGCAGACTTTCCCCCAAGCCAGTA